GAGTATATCTATTCATAAGAGGTCACTAAGAAAAATTACCCTAATATAAAAGCTCATAATTCTCAGTAATTTTGTGAATGACAGCAAAATTGAGAAGCAATGATAAATTTAGAAGACTGAAAAAGTTTAAGTAGAAAATATAAATGTGATGACAATGAATTTGATCATTTGGAATGAAAATAGTGATTTAGAAAGTAACCTTACAAGATTATATATAACCAGAATCTAACAAGCTCATGTGGCCTAGACTTTACATATAAAGAAAAATATTAAAACAGAACTTATTAGGAAGAAAACACAATAATCAGTTGCTCTATGTGTGTGTTAAGGGAATAAACTTTATATACTTAGTTATTGTTGGATTTGTACAGTAAGCCTAAAATGTTTTAATGTGATATTCCTATGTTTGAAATAAAAAGAAGATATAAAATCCAGCATAACTAATCTTACCAGATCCAAATAATCAAGAAATAAATTATAAATAATATTTTTAAACTTTTATAAACAGTACAGTCAACAGAAATAAATTTAACATTTTCTATTGTGACAGGGGTCCTTCTACGAGTAGCTGATCACATAGCCAAGTTATCCAATGGCTCATTTTAACAAAAAAATAGACAAATGGATAAAAAAGTTGTAGTACTTACAGGGGTTGGCAAAGTAGGTTTACAGTTGTGAGTACATGAAACACAGAGTTTATTTTTGTATTATTTATTAATTACTGTATTATTTTCCATATGAATAACTGTAAACCTACTTTTATCTACCCTGTGTATATAATGGAATATTACTCAGCCATAAAAAAGGAAATATTGCCATTTGCAACAGCATGGATGGACATAGAGGGCATTATGCTTAGTGAATTAAGTCAGACAAATACATATGATTTCAATTACATGTGGATTCTAAAAAATAAAATAAATGAACAAGCAAAACAGAAACAAACTCAAAGATACAGAGAACAAACTGATGGTTGCCAGATGGGAGGGGATTGAGGGAATGGGTGAAAAGGGTGAAGAGATTAAGAAGTACAAATTGTCTATTATAAAAACAGTCATGGGGATGTCAAGTTCAGCATAAGGAATATAGTCAATAATATTATAATAATTGTGTGTGGTTTCTGGCAGGTACTAGACTTGTCCGGGGACCACTCTGTAAGTTATATAAATGTTTCATATATAAATGCAATACACTTGCAACTAGTATAATATTGTATGCCAACTTTAACTTAAATTTTAAAAAAGTATTTAGTTATTTTTAAAAAGAAATGTCAACAAGTCCACAAAATTCATTATATCATATAGCATGCTTTCTTTCTTCTCAAAGCTAACTGGACAAATGAGGCACAGAGCTCCTAAAGAAATAATTGTAGACATCCCATATTCTCAGCAGGAAACTATATTTATCATGTAATTTAATGACTCATTTTAGGGTGAGTTTCTATCTCCAAATTATCAAGAGAGCTAATGTTCTTTATTAAAGTTGATTTGGCTACCTCCTCCATAATTGGCAGGTTCTCAATAAATGTTTGTTGAACTTATTTAAGACTAGAGGCATGGTCCACGAAATTTGTGCACTGAGTGGGGGGGTTGTCCCTCAGCCTGGCCTGTGCCCTCTCACAGTCGGGGAGCCCCATAATTGATCTCCCCAAAGAGGTAGGCCCCGCCCACCTGCCACAGCCCAATAGTCGGTTGCCTGGGCCTCCCTCTTTGGGCAATCATGGGGTGATGGCCGGGCCCCCGACCAATTACATCGCATCTGCCTTGGCTGGCCTGGCACCAGCGGGTGTCATAGCGTGGTCGTTCTGACAGTCGTTCTGCTGTTAGGTCGTTTGGTCAATTTGCATATTACGCTTTTATTATTATAGATATTGGTCAGATTAAGAGGAATTTGTGATCAGGTCAGTTTAAGACTTTGGCTTATTTTACACATCTGAGGGGTGCAAAAACTGGATCCTGATGAAAACCCATGATTTGTTTCAAATATGGTTTATAGAGAACTAGTTTGTTCTAAAAATTAAAAGTCTCCATTTTTACATGAAAAGTTTGGAATTATTTATTCAGAAAAATTGGGGATTTGCTGGTCATTTTAATTTTGCATAAAGTTTTAGAAACTCTCTAAGAAAGTAGAGCTTGGGATGTTGGGTGAGTGTATATTCTCCAAACATGAAAGATACAAGATCTGACAGTATAAACAACAACAAAAAATTATATAGAGTTTAAATAAATAAAGGTTTTCCGGGAAGCTATTAAGTGCCAGGCAATTTATTACCCACATGACCCTTATATAATTCTATGTAAATAGGCATTACTCCAAGTACTGGGTGTGCAGAAACAAGAGGTAAGAAGAGGAATTGCTGCTTCGTTACACAGCAATTAAGCAGCAGAGATTACTTTTAAGTCCTGACTTAAACTCTAGGTCCAGCGATGTCACAGCTGTCCCCTAGCTGCACACTTTTTGTTCAGGGATATCAGTTTGGCAGTAGGGCAATCTAAAAGCAATACCAACACTGGAGGTCAGGTCATATTAAGGGATGATGCTGGGAAGGAAGGGGTATCCTTTCTTCTTAAACTAACGGAGTAACTTGTTAAGAACTATAAAGTCTGGATTCATACTAAATAGATGAGCAGGCAGTTTCGCTGCTCTCTTTTCTGAGACTGACATTACTTTTCAGTCACTAACATTGCATGTAATGGTAAAGTACGGCCACTTAGACTCATTTGTTCCTCAATAGGTAGCTCTGCAGGCAGGCAGGGGTACATGCATGTATTTTGGCTAAAATGTACCTCTATCTAAAGTGACAGTGTGGATATTGCAATAAAAGGGCATCGTTTTTAGTCCTTTAACTTGTCAGGATTTAATGTTATCAATATTTTTGCAGTTAAAAAAGCAGAAGCATCTTATATGTTATATATAGACAAGATAAATGTACCAAGTATTGCTGTAAACTCAATTTTTCAATCATAAATTAGAAATATAAATAAACTAATATTATTTCGTATGGTCTTCCACTAATTAAATATGCTACTGAAAGATAAAGTTATGTACCAGCAGAATGAGATATACTCTAGTTATTCATAACTTTTGTAAGGGTATAAAAGAACTTTTTTTCATGGATTTGTCTCAAGGCACATACCTAGGTTGTGGTTCAGTGTATGAGAGGCAACCAGCTGATGTTTCTCTCTTCCTCTCTCCCTCCCTCTCTTTCTTCCCCTCTCTCTTTCTGCTTCCCTCTCCCTCCCCCTTCTTTCCCTCTCTCTTCTGTCACTCTCTCTCTCCCTCTTCTTCTCTCCCTCTCTCACCAATAAACATATCCTCCAGTGAGGACTTTAAAAAAGAAAAAAGTCAAATTTATTTTGAGTTCTACTTTTGATAAATGAAAAAAATCACAACTTAAAGCGGGTGGAAATTGTGTCTGTGCTAAAACACTCTATAGAAATGAGTGGCTGCTAATTACCTAGTGAACGGCACTCTAAGAAGCACAGAAAGAAGTGTGTATGTAGCTTTACCAGTTAAATTTAAAAAAACAAGAGCTCTAAAAGAAGAACAGAGAAAGAAAAAGAGAGAGGGAAGGAGGTTAGAATAGAGCATCAATTTTCAATCGATTGTGCTGCAAGAATTTTTAAAAAATGACTATTTAGTCAGGGACACTGACCTTTTTCCCTTATTTGTCAAATAAAAAAATGACAACAGCCAACACAACAATATCTTTCCAGTGTGAATGAATCAAAATTATACCTATTGTCAGATTTTTGGTGTGCCGCAGAATTTTAGTAATTCGTTTATATGTGCATGAGATTTTAAAAAATTGAAAATTACTGGAATAGGGGAAAGAAGGTAAAAAGAAGAAGGAGGAAAAGGGAGAAAGGGAAGGGAATAGAGAGAACAGAAGGGATGGAGGAAGAACAGGGAAAACAATCAGAAAATTAGCTGAACACAGATAGCAAAATAAAAATACTGAAAAAAATGATCAAGATGGGAATGTGGGCCCTGTCCAGTGTGGCTCAGTTGGCTAGAGCATCGTCCCCTGCACCAAAGGGTTGCAGGTTCGATTCCCATTCAGGGCGCATACCCAGGTAGTGGGTTCAATCCCTGGTTGGGGCTCATATGGGAGGCATCCCATTGATGTTTCTCACTGATGTGTTTTTTTCTCTTTCTCTCTCCATATAATCAATGAAAAACATATCAGGTTCAATCCCCGGTTGGGGCTCATATGGGAGGCAACCCATTGATGTTTCTCATTGATGTGTTTTTTTCTCTCTTTCTCTCTCCATATAATCAATGAAAAACATATCATCGGTGAGAATTTTAAAAAGGAATATAAAAATAAAATTTAAAACAGATGGGAAAGTGCCTAAAGCCAAAAAGAAGATAACAATTTACAAGTTCCAAAATGAAGAAAGACTAAGACTTGCAACTCTCTGAAAACTGGGAAACTACAACTAATTGACAGTCCTGAACTTTGGGACCAACATAGGCAGAGTGATTATATCTTCTATAGCCTCCACAAATTAGGTTTAGTGAAAATTAACAAAACTTTTTAGACCCACAAAAACAAGTATAAATCTTTCTATCTGTTCATGAGACGGAATTTTGTGTTTTCTTGCTAGCGGGAAAATTAGTCCTAAGGCATATACAAACACCAAAGCCAGAATTAAAAAATAGATGACTCATTAAATAGGAGCTCATAGACTTAACTGAGAGACTGGCTGAAGATTAACAGGAGAAGTAGGTAACTGGTACAACACTGCATAATAATTTCTCAGATAATTTTACTTCCCCAGGCTGCCTTGGCTTCAAAACCTTAACCTAACCTTGCCAAGCCAAAGTATTTAAATCCTACTTGGCAGAGTACTTGCCAAGCCAAAGTACTTAAATCCTACTTTTCTTCTAAGTTAATAATCAATTCAGAAAGAAGAATAACTGAGAAACCAAAGTGGATTGCCCTGTTTGGCACAACTAAATCTGTAATTAGTTGGAAAAAAAAGTATTACACTTACTCATACCACTGTTTATTGTGTTTTCGGTAAAGCAACGTATCCAAGGCAACAGCATTGACATCCAGAGCTCCTGGGGAAGGCCACTGGTTGGTGAGGTGGGCAGTTAACTCTTGTCTTGATCTTAAATCATTATTCTTTAGCACAGTCCTGTGAATATTAAGATGGTGAGTGCTTTTGTCTTCATTGTTCTGCAAGGGCAGAGGAACCTGCCATTAATGGTATCAATTTAGGCCCCCAAAATTCATCTTTTTAAAATGGTACGTTAATAGACTGTGACCAAAACTACGGGAAGGCTAGATGGGGCTAGGACTGTTTTGTTTCCTACAATATGTGTTTTTCATTCTTTCTTGGCTAGCTACAACAAATCACTTGTGACATTCAGACTTCCTACTATTTCCACAGAGATATTACTAGAAGACTGATGGATGCAAGCTGCATTCTACATCGTAACTAAAAAACAATGGTGATATCTTAAAGCTACAGGTTATCAGATGCCAGTTAAAATATGAAGTAAAATAAAGATCCCATGTGTAAGAGTTTATAGCTTCAAAAATTCACAATCTATGTAATTTAACTTGATAAACAAAAATAATTTAATTGATTAAAAATAAAATTAATGCAGAAAAATAAAAAATAAAAAATTCATGAGGTTCCCATAATTGTTTTTGATAGAAGTGACTATTAATGAATTTTTATGAAAATAATTAAATCAATGACAACTGCATTGAACAGTATAATCCATTGGAAATATTTCAGCTACAGAATAAAAGCCATTCTTACAACCCATGGTTTCCTTTCATATTTGTAGAACTGTTACTTGTTCATAAGAACTTAAAAAAGACTAGCTTTTAGCCAAAAATTTCAACTTCACAAACCAACTTGTCATTGTCACAAGACTAATTCAACATCTGAATTTGTGGTTAAAGATCATTTAAAGGCATAATTATGTTTGCAAAGTTCTTATTCTACCTCTAAAAGACCTTAAAATACCACCTAAGGCCACCTGCGTTCTCCGACAGTAGTCCACACCTCTAGCATACCAAGATTCTGAGCCATCAGTTCAGATACAGAAGTAGTTCGTGCTTGCCACTAATTTTCAGCGACAATGACAGTCCTGTGTGGGTGGCAGTCAGTGGTGTGCTGGCAAGACAATCCTTCACACGAGAAAACCAACCTGCACCGCACCTCTGGCTGTCAACATGCTTCCAATGGAATAACCCCACTTTACATGTCTCCAACAAGCTGCACACAAACATTTCTGATTTATCAGGATACCTGTGTGCATTTAAACATATTTGCTCTACTATGTCCACAAAGAAATATTATCTGACGTAAACACTAGCCTCTCTCTCAGAATGGAATACTACAAGTTAACCAAGCAGAAGTCAGAACTGCTTTGGCTACTCAGGATCATTTTGATTCCGTATAAATTTTAGGATTGTTTTTTCTGTTTCTGTGAAAAATGCCACTAGGATTTTGATATAGATTTCACTGAATTTGCACATCACTTTGCATAGTATGGAGATTTTAATAATATTAATTCTTCCAATCCATGAACACAGCATGCCTTTCCATTTATGTTCTTAATCTCCTTCATCAATGTTTTCAGTTAAGGATCAAAGAGTTGTTTTATTTTTCAAAGAAAAAAATAGCTCTGTATTAAGCCCTCCTTGGCATGACAGAAATGTTCAATGAATGTAATTTATTTTATGAACCCAGCCAAACCCTGCAAAGTTCCTATATCTTCTAAATATATAACTTGTACTATATAAGACAGTAATTCATCATCACACTTTATTTTTCCCAGATTTGTAATTATTCTTCACATGATTATTGTTAGCTTATCTTAGCCAAGCATGATGCAGTGCAACACAACACAATAAGACTCTGGGTTGTTCATAAACACCAAAGACTTCACTGTGAATCCTTTGTACCTCCTTAGGAAGAAATCTGTTTAGCAATGTTTTTAAAGGAAAAACAAAATTAATAAAAATGGAGTTCGTTACTGTCTCTTTTTAAAACAGCATTCTACATCCAAGTTGTCAAATAATTTGCTAAGTTTCAGTGTGAGATTTTGTCACATGAATTGAGCCATCAAGAAGGGTATATTTACACCATCCTCTAACAATGTGGAGTACTTTATAGGCATCTGCATTTTTAATAGAGGCTTATCTCAAGTAAAAATGTACAGTCCTAATAAAACTATTTCAAGGTTCCCAGATAAACTATTTGCTTCTAATAAAACTTTAGTTAATATTTTATTATACTCATCTCCCTCATATGATATTTTGCACCAATGTTTCTGTATTTGTTCCTCCCTTTACCTAGAATAACATTGTTTCTCTCCCTAGGTTACCAAAGCTCTATTCAAAATCAACTTCTAGTGATGCTTTTCCTGGACCACTACTCCTGTGCTACTTCTACAATGTGTATATATCTTTATTACCATACATATATGCATGTCCCAATACACTCATCACATCACTTAGAGGTCAGTTGTTTAGCTGACTCTGATATTCTCAAGGTTATCTTATTCATGTTTAAATTCTCAGTATCTAGTCCAGTTCCTGGAACAAGTAGTTACTTAATAAGTATTTATTATAAAATATTATTTTAAAGGTTTACCTTTCTAAAATGGAAATATGATCTGAAATTGGTAACTTCACAGACCTCCTTAGCATGGTATATAAATCCCTTTCTCACCTGGCCACACATACACATTTTCCCTCTATGTTAAGTAACCAGGAGCCATCATGCAGTTTCCTATTTGCTGGACTCTAATCTCTTTCTGTTTTAGCTTTTGTTATTTTCAATGCCTGGAAAACCCATCTCTTACCTTTCTGCTCTATCAAATATCTAAACCACTTTAAGGAATTAGTATAACTGTCACCACCTCATTAAATCCTTCCTAGTTCATTTTCCTTTGTCTCACACTGTATCCAATACAAGCATCTATCATAGCTTTGGGGACACCTTATCGCTCTTATTGTTTACATGTCTGTGTTCCCTGAGAGCACTCTGAGGGCAGGAACTAGAACAAATTTATTTCTGAAATAGAGGCCCAGTGCACGATATTTGTGCACGGGGGGGGGGGGGGGCTCAGCACCCTCTCCAAACTGGGACCCTTCAGACATCCCTCTCGTAATCCGGGACCCCTGGCTCCTAACGACTCACCTGCCTGCCTGCCTCCTCTAACCATCCCTTGCCGGCCTGATCACCCCTAACCGTTCACCTGCCTGCCTGCCTGATTGCCCCTAACCGCTCTCCCCTGCTGGCCTGATCACCCCTAACTACTCTCCTCTGCTGATCTGATCACCCCTAACTGCTCTGCTTTGGCCCCTGCCACCGTGGCTTTGTCCAGAAGACGTCCAGTCTAATTAGCATATTACCCTTTTGTTAGTGTAGATTCTTAGTATCAAGCCCAGCATCTAGGACAGAAGAAGGGCTCAATAAATGTCAGTAGAATTAATCTAAAGGACAGCATAGAATTTTAAAAAGCACCTTGAAATAATCTAATATGCAAGGGAAGATAGCAAATACAGAATATACTCCACTTCAATACTACTGAAAATTAAATTACAATGCAACTTTCTTACTTAAACTAACAAAACATCTAAGTAGCTTTAATGTTTAGGGAAGTGATTAAATTGCTGTTAAGAGGGTAATAAGTATCACTTTGGTTTGCTAAACATCACAACAAACTTTTAGTCTAGTGGTTCTCTACCCTAGTCAAATAACTGGGAAAGCATTTAAAAATACTGATGCCCAAGCATCATCTCAGATCAATGAAGTGAATTTCTATGATGGTGGGGCCCAAACAATGGTATTTTTTAATACTAAGTGAATCTCATATACATTTTTTCTCTTGTGAAGTAACAACACTACATATCTCTCTGTCTACTCTTTCTTGATCTCTTTCAGCAAAGATCCCTCTCTCCATTTAGTCCTTAAATGTTGGTGGTCCCTCCGCTTATATTCTCAAATCGCTCAAACAGATTCCCTGTAAATACACAGAACCCTGGCTTCAGAATTGAGATCCTACATTCTTTTGAGCCCTAAATATTTCATTCATTACTTTAAAGGAGAGAGAAAAGGGCTGTCCTTCAGAGATTAGGCTCTCATCTACTGTTTACTTACAAGCTCTTTGAAAAGGTCTAGAATCCTGTACTCTATATTTTGATAGCAATACTTAACCAATTCAAAATTTTATTTTGTTTTAATTATCTTGTGTCTCCAAACTTGAGGGTTATCCTCTCTCCTTTACTTTGCTTCTTTCTCATTTACCTCAGAAGCTGTGCTGATGCTCACAATAAAGTTATATTTTCAACTGCTGCACATATGTATATAGGACATACAACCCTTGGCATTTAGAATTTACTATCTGTGATCCCAAATATTCCCAAGCAACCCCAAAGTTCCATAACATTAAAGTATTTTTATATTTCGATAAGGCAATACATCTGAAGATCATGGTTATAACGTAAGTTTTGAGAGTGGGTCTTGCAAAATGCCTAACACCATTGCAGCGAACCTTGGTTATTTTCCACTTATCATTTATTGTCTCATATGCTGTCATTCTTAGGATGTATTCCAGTGCCATCTATGACAAGGGTCACTGAGAAAATCTTAGGCTATCATGTTCATGAAAATAAAGAATTTATTATGTCATGACTAAACTAATGCAGATGTTTATGCTTATGGACAGAATGGCCGGGTACTGAAGTCAAAGAAAGGGAAAACCACCAAATATAAGGTGTTGAATACATTCCAACCCTAACTCTCTTAGAAACACAGAATAACAGAATTACCTACCTCTACCTTCTCTTACTACTTGGGAAGAGAAACAAACACTATTTGCTTAATGTCGGTCTCAGCCCTCCACCCAAAGTAAGCTCTGTAAGGGCAGGACTATGTTTTATTTATTCTTGAGTCACCTGGAATAGCGCTTGGCTCTTAATACATTCTCAATAAGTATTTACCAAGTGAATGGGTAAATGTCAGAGAAGTTACAAAAGCAATCTAGTACCAAGAGAAGTGATGAGAATGTACCTTCTTTTTTTTAAATATATTTTTTATTGATTTTTTTTACAGAGAGGAAGGGTGAGGGATAGAGAGTTAGAAACATCGATGAGAGAGAAACATCCATC